CTTGATCTTAAAAATATTGTTAAGGTTTGGGGACCATGGTTTCTATTTTTCTTGATCTTAAAAATATTGAACGAAGCCGGGTGTTGGTGGCACACGCCTTTAATCCCAGCACTTGGGAGGCAGAGGCAGGCGGATCTCTGAGTTCGAGACCAGCCTGGGCTACCAAGCGAGTTCCAGGACAGCCTCCAAAGCCACAGAGAAACCCTGTCTCGAAAAACCAAAAAAAAAAAAAAAAAAATTGAACAAAATGTCAAACTGAGCCTTGTTTTCTTCAATCATTTTTTAAACACATCTTAGGAACCCAAATGTCAAAGGTTTAAGAATCACTGTGGATCACAAGAAATCAGACAAGAGATAGCAAGCTGTCTGTGATTGCGGAGTAATGAGTGACACTTGCTCTAAAGCCTACCTTGTCTCTATGGATCAGTTCTACCAAGCTGCACAAGAACTGACAGCAGGAGGGAGCACTTTCACTGGAGGGAGACCTGGTCCACCGCATGTTCTGATTGTAATTTCACAGTGTTCTATGCCTTTCTTAAGTTTGTTTTGATGCTAACATACACACACCTCTTATTTTCTTCACGCTTGAACACATGTAGACAGGATCTCCCCTTGTAGTCCTGGAACTTCTGATCCTCTGCTCTACGTTAGCTTTAGTGCACTGGGACTCCAGGCATGCACTATCATGCTGGGACCCACATCTCTTTATGTTAAACCATCACCACTCTACCCTCATTTCTGTCTTTTCTCTAGTTCTTACTACACCTCTAAAGTCATGTTCACTTTTTCTCGACTGCTGTTTACTTCTCTCTGCAACAAGTAGCTGACTGTGCATACCAATGCTAAGAACCGGGCCTGGGGCTAGGAGGCAAAGGGCTTGTCTCTCTTTTTTTTTTTTTTTTTTTTTTTTGGTTTTTCGAGACAGGGTTTCTCAGTATTGTTTTGGAGGCTGTCCTAGAACTTGCTCTGTAGCCCAGGCTGGCCTCCCTCAAACTCACAGAGATCCACCTGCCTCTGCCTCACGAGTGCTGGGATTAAAGGCGTGTGCCACCAACGCCCGGCAAAGGGCTTGTCTTATAAGCAGGAGTATCTGAGTTTGATCCCTTTAACCCTGAGGGGGAAGCTAGGTGTGGACAAGGAAGACAGTACTTTAGGTGCTGGCTGAGCAAGCCTGAGGGAGCCCTTAGGTTCCATCTCAGGAACCCACAAAAATGCAGGATGAGGTACTGTGTCCCTGTAATCCCAGTACTCATCTGGTAGGCATGATAAGGACAGAGACAGAAGTGTCACCTCTGCTCTTTGTGGCTAGCTAGGCTAGAATATAGAGCAGAAGAGAGAGACCCTGCCTCTCAACAAGGCAGAACATGAGAGCTGACTTCTGAAAGTTGTCCTTTGTTTTATGTTATCCTGCTATTTTCTAAGATCATATTTAGTATAAGTGAGCCTTTACAAAGACTTCTGAATTCCTAAATGGATTACTTACAAATGAAAAATTCAGTAAGAAAATGCCCTAATCTGAATGGGGGTTAGAAACAGTGAACTCCATGGTGGTGTCTAGAGTCAGGGGTGGGGAAGGGTATACGGTTGAAGTCATAGCTGAAGACAGCACTCTTCTAAACTGATTGCATACATTGCACTTTAAAATTGATTGTATCTATTAACTCACTAGCCTAGAAAATAATGTAGAGTTCCTTGAGAAGTTCACACATGGTATTTTGATCATATTCACCCCAATTCCTCCCCTGAACGCCTCTCAGATTTACCCACTTCCTAATGCCCCCAATTTTGTGACCTTTTACCTTTTTAAATTTAATAACCCATCAACTCCAATTTTCCCTGTCCATATGCTCCTGGGTGTGGGGCTACCCACTGGAGTATAGTTGGCCACCAGGAGCCACACCACTAAAGAAAATTGGCTCCTCCTTTCTTAGAAGACCCACAGGCGTAGCCACTCATGACGCAGCTGTCTTTCAGTCATTCTCTCTTCTGTAAGTAACCCCTCACCCATATTCCAAGTGATCCCAATAAAACTCCTTGGTTCACCAAGTTGGACCTTGGTGGTACCCATATTTTGGTTTGTCCTGGGTTCCCCATCTGGGATAAGTAGATGAGTGTGTTTTATCTCCCCAGGAAACATTTTGTCATACGACCTAGAGCTCCAGTGATGAACAATCCCACCAAAGCCCACCTTGGGGACCAGTGACTTTATTGGACTTACTTACTAAGCATGAGCATGGGTGATCCCAAAGCAGCTGATCATCGGAAAGTTCTTATGCCAACACGAATGATGATTTACCCAAAGCTGCACAGATGTGGTCCCCTTCAGCTCATCTTACATACTCTGTCATCCAGCATCTCTACTGAGACAGAGCCAAGTGCAATCAGGGCAAAATTCCCTACAAGTGGTGGGAGATGCAGAGTGAGAGCCAATGATCCTTTCTGTCCCCTCCTCCTAAGGACAGTCAACAAGCCTGATCTCACACAAGTATCATAGCTACTCTGCTGCCCCTGACAGCTGTTCCCATACTTCTAACATCCTACAACATGCTCTCCTCTGTACTGGTCACTGTCCTTGAGCCACTGGCCCATCCCTTGTCAGAGCCCGATACACCTGACTGCCCCTCTCCAAACCATCTCTCAAACCAACCAACCTAGCTTCTCGAAGTTGAAGGACAGCACTTTCGCTGCCCTTGACTAGTCTTTGCAGCTCTCAGGGAAAAACAATTTACTCCCTTCTGGGAGGGGCTAGCTACTCTTAGACTTGATTCAAGACACACCCATAAATTACAATGCCCCAACTGTTGGCTCTTTCTAAATTCCTGAGCAGGACATTTAGAAATGAAAAGTTCTTTAGAATCTGTGTCATCTGACTGTGGCTTGAGGGAGATAAATGCTGGGACGGGGGAACATAGGGACTCCACTTTTTTCCAGTATTTTTTTCTTTTCTTTTTCTTTTTTTCTGGTTTTACGAGACAGGGCTTCTCTGTATTGTTTTGGAGGCTGTCGGACCAACCCGGCCTTGAACTCACAGAGATCCGCCTGCCTCTGCCTCCCGAGTGCTGGGATTAAAGGCGTGTGCCACCACCGCCCGACCCATTATTTTTTTTTATTTAAATTAGAAGCATGCATGCTTCATATGTCAATCCCAGCTCCCCCTCCCACCCCTCCTCCCTTACCACTCCACCCCCCTATCCCCATACCATTCCCCAGGGAGGGCGAGGCCCTCCTTGGGGGATCTCCAGAGTCTGTCACTTCATCCAGGGCAGGACCTAGGCCCTCCCCCATGTGTCCAGGCTGAGAGAGCATCCCTCCACGTGGAATGGGCTCCCAAAGTTCATTTGTATGCCATGGTGAACACTAGTCTACTACCCAAGGCCCCAGAGATTGAGAGGCCTCCTCACTGACACTGCATTCAGGGGGTCTGGATCAGTCCCCTGTTGGCCTCTCACTTGTAATGTGGTGACACATTATGGAGCTATCAGAAGTGAAAGAAAGGGTTGGTCGAAGAAAGAACAATGGTCAGGACTTGTGGGCCTTAAAGGATGTGAGAAAGAAGAGTTTAAACCACACCACTGTTGGGGTGTGATTACTAAAAACAGGCATTTTCTAAAGGTTAATCCGTTTCCAGGAGGACAGACAGAGTTCATTTTAGAATCCTTGTCCTCATCTCTATTCAGCGGCGGGAGGCACCCTAAGTAAGCACCAGGTGTCAATCAAGCCAGGTGATGTTCAGTCTCCAGCAAAAATGGGCGGATCATGTGGATACCTTTTTTTTTTTTAATTTGTCAGGGGTGGATTTTTTTAATTTTAATTTTTAAATTTAAATTAGAAACAAGGTTGCTTCACATGATGTGGACACCTTTTATCCAACAGCTGATGAATAAGGTCCTCCCAGCCCTGGCCAAAACAGAATTTAGGGGTATGATTTGGATGCAAAATGCCTGGTTTACTACAGCCTAAGACCAAACAACACCCGAAAGTCCTCAGAAAGTGGTAGTTATTACATGGCAAACTGGCCTTATGTTAGATCTCACATCATATAAAAATTTTGGAACGATGACCCCTTGGCTTGTAGCTCCTTCAAAACACTCAGACAATGCCAGAAGACCAAACCAAGAGAGCCAAACTTGGAATTCGGCCAATGTCACCAGGTAAGGTCCTCAGGTGGAAACTGGAAAAACAAAAACCAAAAAACCCCAACCAAAAAACATTGAAGGGCCAAACTAGCACAGAGCAGAGAATACGCAGCCAGGCAGACAGCCCGGGTGCTCAAAAAAGCCTGGTAGAGAGGGTCATGGAAATGCTGCAGGAATCTCAATGACTGAGGACTCACGTTGGGAACTGACCCCAAACCTCGGATTGGCACACTTTACAGGACTCCACTTAAGCTCCAGAGTCGAGATCAGAGAATCAACCACACTCCGCGAATCTCTTAACCGAACACCTTCTTCCTGGCCGAGCCTACGCTCTCCCCACCAGAGGGAGTCGTGGGTCCCAGGGGCAACGGTGGCCTCAGTGCCCGGGCCAACAGCTAGGAAGCCGGCAGATTTTCAGAGAGCATGGGTCGGGGAAATAAATCCAGTCCGGGTTTTGTCTGAACGGGGGACTGGGAAGGCTGCGAGGACTGGGGAAGAGGAGGGGGGGGGCGGCGGTGAAGACACCACACAAACAGCTCGCGCCCAGCACACCGCGGTAGGCCCCGAGCGCGCGGGCTCAGGGCCCGGAGAGGCGCGCGCCGACCCGGCCGCCGGCCGCATGGAGCGCAGCGCGGCCCGCGGTTCCCGGGCGGCGCAGGCGGAGGCAGCAGCGGCGCGCTCGCTCACACCCACCCCCGCCCGCGGCCGGCGCGCCGCCCCGCCGTAGCCGCCGGCGTCCCCGCGGGCCGGGCCAGCGAAGGCGGCGCCCGCGCGTCCTCCAGCCAGCGGCCGCTGCCAGCCCCGGAGGCGGCCCCGCAGCCCCGCAGCCGCGCGTTGCCCGGGCCCAAGCAGCAGCCTCCGCGAGGAGCCCGGCGCCCCGGGCCGTAGCCCGGCGCAGGCATGCAGGCAAGGCGCCTGGCCAAGCGCCCCAGCCTGGGCAGCCGCCGCGGGGGCGCTGCGCCCGCTCCCGCCCCCGAGGCCGCCGCGCTGGGGCTCCCGCCCCCCGGCCCCAGCCCTGGCGCTGCACCGGGAAGCTGGAGGCCGCCTCTCCCGCCGCCGCGCGGGACCGGTCCCCCGCGCGCAGCCGCCGCCTCGTCACCGGTCCTGCTGCTGCTGGGCGAGGAGGACGAGGACGAGGAGGGCGCGGGCCGGAGGCGCAGGGTGCGCGGGAGGCTGGCGGAGAAGCCCCGAGGGGGCGCGGAGGAGGACGACGACGACGAGGAAGAGGACGAAGAGGTGGTCGTCGAGGTGGTGGACGGCGACGAGGACGACGAGGACGCCGAGGAGCGCTTCGTGCCTCTCGGACCCGGCCGTGCGCTTCCCAGGGGCCCGGCCCGGGGAGCGGTGAAGGTGCGTACCGGGGGGCGCAGCGGGCTCTGCGGGGCGGCTGGGCGTCAGGGAGGGCGGGAGGGAGGCCGAGCGGAGCCGCGCCGGCCGGGAGGGGTGTGTCAGGCGGCCGTGGGCAGCGCGCGGAACTGCGGCGCAGCGGCGCCCTGGCGGCCTGTCGTTGCTCAGAGGCCGGGTGGGTTCGTGGTCCCGCGTGCCTGTGGGAGAAGAACGCTTCTCCCTGGCAGGGTGGGGAACTTGCGAGTGGGATGAGGTAGGAGCGGGACGCGCCTGATCGGCCCGGCATTGACATTTTTATTCTGCCTTGGGGACGCTGGAGTGTTCCCTTGTTCAAGCTTCTGGAAACTAGAGAGCAACCTGCAACACCTCCATTCCACCTGAGAACAGTTGTTGATCGGTTTCCATCACAGGTACTTGTGAAGGAACCGTAAGTTTGTGCTGCAATAACCAAGACCTTGGTTTCCGCGTGCCTTTTGCTGGTGTCCCCACCCCCCCCATACTCCCCGCGCTTTTCCTTACCATTCTTACGCTGGACACCCTAAGCATTTCGTGCACTCCCCCACACCCCAGATTACAAATGAGGAAAGAGGAAAGCGAGAAAAGTGGTGGTGGGGTGACGTTTAAAATGACTGAGTTTCGCCAATTCTCGCCAAGTCCCCCATCCGCGCTAAAGCTCGGAGCGATCTTTCCGTTTTTGTATCTTCAGGAGATAAAGGGTTTATTATTACACAACTGACTGGCTGAGCTTCCAAGCACGCTATTGGACAAAGCAGACTGCGTTGAGGTTCATGCACCGTGTATGTTGCTAAGAAGTTTTGAGGGCAGCAAGTGGCAAGCGAGGGAGAGTTGTTTCTCTCCAGTGGTTCTTAAGCCAGCAGAATAGCCCAACCTTCTTGGGAGTTTTCAGAAGAAAATACATAATAAGCAAACGAACTTGATAAGAGTTTTGTTTTTTAAAATCTTCCTGTGTCCGCTCTCAAAAGTGGCTGGAAACTTAAAATTATATTTACAAAGTAAATAGCAATTAGGTAGCCCCGCAATGGATTTAGGAATGTGTTTCTTGCCTAGACCACCCCAAAGTCTGACTGCCTGGCTCCCGGTGTAAGAAGATTTGAGCAAATGGCCATTTGGGTGATTGTTTTTGACAGCTGCTTGTTGGAACCCGGAGTGGCCACACTCATTACTGGGCCTGCCGAAAAGCCTGCTTTGTGTGGCAACTGGTTTGAGTTGAGTTCCATAGCATCAGTGACACTGAGTAAGACAGACCCCTTAGCGGTTTTGTGCAGACACACTCAAAATGTGTCTGGGGGTTTGAACAGTGATTACACAAATTGAGATAGAAAAATTAATAATAAGTTATGCTCTGTGATCCAAGCAGGCCCCTTGTAGGAAAGAAGTCTTTTTAAAACTCAGAATATCTAGGGTGTGATAGTTAACATTAGCAGAAAAGATTTTTCACATCTCCAAATAAATTCAAATTCTTTCAAATTTCTAACACATTGCTTTGCTCACAACTTTTATAGCACATTGCTCACAACTTCTGAGAAGTTACAAGTTGAATGCGCTGTGGTATAATTTATCTTCTTTTTTTCATCGCTTCAGCACTGCCCTGTTACTTCATCTGAAAGAGATTTTTTTTAAATGGAAAATAACAAATACATTTACATTTCTGTATATCCACGGGTTCATTTGTTTGACAAATATTTACTGAGCACCTACTTTGTGCCAGGTACTAATCTAGCGCATAGCATAGCAGAGTATGACTTTATAATGCTTGCACATACAGCTCCCATCATAGCAGCTAACTAACGTGTAATTGTGACACCCAGGACTGTGATTTGTGCTGTAGCTACTCAGCTTTCACTGTACCGAGCTTCGGCCTTCCTGAGTGGAGCCAGCAAAGAGAGGGGACTTCATTCAGCAAAGGGCAGGAATGGGAGGCAACCGGTTCCTCCTTCTTCCCCTTCTAGCCATGACTCTCCCCATCCTACCTTCTTTCTTAGGATGGGGAGAGTCCAGCAGATTACCAGGGAACAGATTTATGACCTCTGCTTTTAAAAATATTAAAATTATTGTTGTGTGTGTAGAGTGTGCACCCGTCACACACAGTCACACACGTTAGGGAAGTCAGAGGACAATTTTGTATGGAGTCCTTCCTTTCCATCCATGCTTCTGCTTTCCAGAGCTCAAACTCAAACATTGCGTGGCTAATATCCCCACTGGTCCTGCACTGGTCCTATCTATGACCTGCAGGAAAGTGCCTCCAAGAATCCTGTTTCTTCTTTCCTGCTTAAAAACCATATTTGGACATGGGGAAGGGCCTAGGCCCTGCCCCAGATGAAGTGACAGACTCTGGAGATCCCCCACGGAGGGCCTCACCCTCCCTGGGGATGGTGTGGGGATTGAGTGGGGGGGGGTGGGGAGCATTGGTAGAGAGGTAAGGGAGGAGGGGTGGAAGAGGGAGCTGGGAAGTAAGAAATAAAGTTAAAAAAAAAACCACGTTTGGGCCAGGTGTTGGTGGTGCACGCCTTTAATCCCAGTACTCCCGGAGGCAGAGGCAGTGGATCTCTGTGAGTTCAAGGCCAGACTGGTCTACAGAACAAGTTCCAGGACAATGCAGAGAAACCCTGTCTCGAGAAAAGGAAACAAAACAAAAAAACAAACAAAAAGAACCATGTTTGTCTGATTTAGAAGCTGTCACAGAAATTGTCATGGAGCCAGTGGGTGGGAAATTTACTACGGAGCTGTCTTGCAAGGAGAGTAGCAGAGTGTGGCGGGCGGGCGGCTGGTGGTGGAGATGGCAGCCAAGCCAGTTTGATCTTCTGCCCACCGCGGCTTCCTTACAGATGTAAACCAGGAGCACGTAGTGCATGAACTGATCATGCTGACCTCGGGAACAGAGGCAAGGGAGTGGGGGGGTGGGAAAATAAAACATCAGGGATTGCCTGGCAGGCCTGCGGTATCGCTGGGAGGCAAGTGGTGTTTAGATTCTAGGAAGAAAAGGGAAGGCTTCTAGTGGGACACCCTTCTTGTGAGGGGACATTCGATCTTCAAGCAGAAACGCTTTGTGCAGGAAGTAGACTGGCTAGAGGAGTAGCCACTGTAACTCACAGCTTTGGCTGGAACTTGGTAGGGAGGAGATATGTCTCAGGCGCAGGCCTGGACTAGCAAAGGAAAAGACAGGTCCTTTGCAGTTAGAGTGTGAAGTCTTTGGAAGGTTTTCATCCCTGCCGGGTGGTTGGTATTTTTCCAAAGCTCACACTGGGGAAGAATAGAGACCCATAGTGGATGTGGGAGAGCAGAGAGGTACTGTAGCCCATACAATCCTTGGGAGATGTGAGCACTGCTTGGCGTTAGCAGCTGACAAGAATTGGAGTAAGACAGTGGACCAATTCAGGGTACATTTCGAAGCTCAACCTGCCAGAATGTTTGATGGCCTGGACGAAGGAAGTGAAGGGAGAGAATTCCGAATGAGCTCCTGGCATAAAGGATGGCTAGATGAGGCATTTCCTGAGATTGGGGAAACCGCAGGGCTGAGCGCTCTGTTAGAACATATTAGGACTCAGGTGATGGGAGACTTATAAGAGGAGGTTGCTGGCAGGCTGGTGGGATTAGGATGTGGATCTGGGTGGGAGGTCTGGGCTAGACAGGGAGAATTTGAAAATCAGCAGCATGCTAATGTCAGGTCATACAGTAGTCTGGCAGAGCAGCAGTGTGGACCAGGCTCCGGCCGAAGCACCGCTTCCCTGGGTTCTGGGAGAAGCTGGTGAAGATAGTTGAAGCAGCATCAGATGTGTAGACAATGTGAAGTTTAGAAACCAAGTGAAGAAATAGCTCTAAAACCCGAGGGACCGTGAACAGGGATGAAAAAAATATTAGGATGCTGAATAAGTGCAAAGAGATACTCACTTGTGCTGGATAATAGGAAACAGCGCTATTTTTATAAGGTTCATTCTTTTTATGTGTATGGATGCTTTGCTTGCATGTATATGTGTGCACCGTGTGTGTGCAGTGTCATGGAGGCCAGAAGAGGATGTCATCTCCCAGAACTGGAGTTAGATGGTTGTGAGCCATCATGTGGGTGCTGGGGATTGAACCCAGGATTTCTGAAAGAGCAAACAGTGCTCTTAACCACCAGGCCATCTCTCCAGCAAACCTCCCCCCACACACGGTTTTTCTTGACAGAAGCTTGTGTCAAGTGGACTGAGCCTTGAAGGCATGATGAGGCTGTTAGGGTCTGTGTGGAGAACTCTTTGACAAGGTGAGGCTGTTAGGGTCTGTGTGGAGAACTCTTTGACAGGTTTTGTTCAGGAGTAAGAAAGGTCCATTTTGTTTTTTATGGATGAGATGAAGTGAGCTCTGGACCTGCTGTTTCTGAAGAGGTCACACCTGCTAGTTTTCAATTACTTTGTAACTTTGTAACAAATTACCATACTTTCGGCCTCCTTGGATATAGCCAAGTCTTCCATGAGTTAGGAGTCTAGTTTCAGCCTGAACTTTGTCAGTTGCTGAGTCCCACAAAGCTAAGGGTTACATGGGCTCACTTCTCATCCGGAGTTTGGCCAATGAAGAATTCACATCTAGGTTCGGAATGAAGGGGCAGAATCAATTTCCCTGAATCTGAAAGATTGAGGACCCCAGCTTCTTGCTGACTGCACCTCAGTGCTCCATCACTCCTGGAGCTCATTTTTTCCAGCCTCCTCCCTTCCTACAGCTGTGTGTCATATAGGCTTCCTTGGCATGGCCTCTTGTTTTATCAAACAAGCAAGGAGAATCCTAGGGCCACCAGTAGGGTTATCTCCCATAGGCAGACGTGAACTCATTGTCTTTGCCACGGTGTCCTGGTTGGAAACAGTTTACAGGTTCTGCCCAGTCTGAAAGGCAGAGATTATACAAGGGCCAAAGTATACAAGGGACATGTGAGGGTCTTTGGGGATCTTGTCTGGGAAGTATGAAGGGAACGGGGTGCAGGGCTGGGGGAGGGTGTCACTGTAGGACAGGTC